CAAGGATGCGAGTACGACATCGAAAAGTTTTAACGAACCGCGCTAGCGAACGGTTCGTTCCTGGACACACGGATCGCGTTTCCTAAAGTGAAATTAATGGCGAACGTTAACGTGTAACCGTAGTATCTGCGCCCACAGGATGATGAAGTAACTTATAAATTACATCATTTTTTTAACGAAAATAAAAATCCAACGAATATACACCCTTAATCAATGGTACGATCATTCGATGCTTTAGTAAATTAGAAATTTCTCAATGGATTAAAATTCTATAGAAAATACAAAGTTAGTGAGTAGAAATCTGGACATTTACTATACTTAGAACCGAGTAAACTACGCATTTCCTCTACGTCTGACTAATTATACGTTTCTCCACTGAGTCCATTCAGGATACAGTTTAAAGTCCCTTTTTAATGGAAATGAGCAAATGCAATCGCATTGAAAAATTCAATGGAAGCACCTGAAACCGTGAGAACCACCGGCGACTGCGTTCTCTTCTATTTGGTTACAAAACGATCGAAGATGTATGGGCAGCGGTGAAAGAATGATGCTTACTGCCAATGCTAACTGATTTTCAATGGACCGGGAGAATTTTTCTGGTCACGATAATGCTATTTTATGTGAGAAGAAGCATGGCCCTTGCGGGAGCCATACACTATATATTCGACGAGGAACAATGTGCTATTTAGATAAGATACTTGCAAGTCAGTTAAAAACGACCAGCTCGAATATCGACAGCGCCAAATTACTGTTTCTTTCTGACAGAAATAAAATTATTACGAGAAATTGATCTATCATAATAAATTAACAGAGAATCCATTATGAAATGCATGGGAATGAAGTGTCCAACTGTTGAGACGAGAACGAAGATTAAATTGAAACATAGTAGATAATCAAAGAATCGACTTGTTTTCGATAGTTCCACGACTACCCTCAACTTCTGGAGATACTTACCGATTTCTTATTCAGAACTTTTCTCTGCATAACGAAAATCTTACTCGCGAGATCCTCGATAACTTGAAAAGCCACGATTTTCAACAGGTAGTTTCGCGTTTCTCAAGTCGCTTTCGAGGATTGCTCGATGGCAATGTTAACGACCATGTCATTGCCCTCGCACCTCCGTCTCGTTTCCTTTATCGAGTCATTAATAAATCAGAGTTTATAAAGACGACGAAGTCGAATCGATGTTGGTCGAAGTTAAAATGAGTTAAGCTCTCGACATAAGAAGACGGAAGACTGTTTTATCATTAACTGGCCTTAAGAACAGTGAAAATTTAATCAGTCAAGGATTCCCCCTAAATGAAGCTATTAATACTTCGAGGTTGTTGGAACCTTTGAGACTTCACTCCTACGCAATTTAATAACCAACAAACAGTAGAACTACGGTTTAACGAACTTAACAAGATTCAGCGTTAAACACAGACTCTACACGTAGTACATAAGAGATAATTCAAGCGGAAAATATTAATCGCGAGGAAACTTCGAGTCAGAGAAATTCAGTTGACGGACTCTTCGTACGAAATAGGTTTTCCACGGTTTATTTAGTATTTTATAAGCAGGACGTACGTGGAAGCTGCAGATGGAAATTTTGCTGTGTCCAACCTTAATTTCATGAGAATGCTCCTAGCGTGACTCGAAAGCTCTAAAAACCCGTTGATAAAAGATACGGCCGCGTAAAAAGCGTTGCCGAAATTTCAGTGATCCCGACTACAATTTCACAGCCTTTTCACTTGATAAAGCAAGTCAAACGCAAACACGGCGGGTTTGCAGCTTGGGAAATTTTCCGAGTCCAAAAAACAGCCGAAAAGTCACGTTCGTGCCATAACCAACGACCCTCGCCCGCAAACCTTCGCTCCTAAAATCTCCGACCTCGTTGCAAAAAAAAAACCCGACGAACTTTTATCTTTACCACTGGGACAACTGAAAGTTGGGATTTGTTATTCGACGTTTTAATGAAATACGCGGCGAGAATTTAATTAACGTTGGTAGGCGACGAAGAAAGAAGCGGGAGGAAGTGAATCGTACGTTTAATCCCGCCCTCCTCCTCTTCCTTTTTCCATCGTTCCTCTCCAACGTGTTCGCAAAACCGCGTGATGTTTCGCAACCTGTCCGCGGGTCAACTTTTTCACGGCTGAAATACGACCACTGCTCTTTTTTACATCGTCGTCGTCGTCGTCGTCCGAGTATAATTACCGTGAATTATACACAGCGCGCTGCGCAAACCTGTGACCGATGTGCCTCGCTTCTGAATAGAGTAAGCTCATCTCGAGCGGAGATGTCAACCTTTCAAATTTACCACGAATAGTTTTCAGTAGTTTAGACGAAAGGGACGACTGTCTCCTAAAATCGTTTAAACACGACATAGAAGAAATCGCGAATTTCTATTTATTCCAGAAGCAAATAGCTTTCAATAGCTCAGGCGAAAATGACGACTATATTTTAAAACGGTTTGAACATGATGTCTTGTCATAAGTCAGGAATTTTCACTTTTTCCAGAGCAAATGAACGGGAACGACATTTCTCAGCCGGGATGGTAATTCAATGAGGAGTGTATCGTAAACGGATACACGGATAGAAGTTAGCGGAGTGTCCCATTGGGGATAACACGTGTCGTTGGCAAACACTGGTACCGGGCATGGCAGTGGGCGGTATTCGTGTACATATCACGCCGAAACAACGATGGAACACACACGACTGATTGGGAGGGGATTATCAAAGTGCACGGGCGAACGCACAGCAAGCGCGAGAGTGCAAACGATTACCGATGCGCCAGCCAACTTCATGCAAATCCGAGTGACGACTGACAACGCCACGATCGGGACAGAGTCGCCACAGCGAAACTCCAGAAATTGTTATATAGCGTTTTATTCCATCATAAAATATGATAATCGTGGGACCTAGCGTTAGCGCACAGCGAATTAAATGCAAATTATTTCAACGTAGGACTGGCTTATCTATTATTCGCGACGATGTGTCAAATTATAAGTACTTAGGATTTACCTTCAGAACTCTGAGAACTATTAATGATTGAAATCGTTTTCCGAAATCATGTACTTGTTATCACGTATCTCATCAATAACGCTAGGCATTAATTTAATTATAAATGAAATTAAGGATACGATTACGTATCCTTTGATGAACGAACTGGAAAACCGAAATTTGATTGAACCGAGCTGGCACAGCGGTAAAAAACTAATTAAATCGGGCTGATTAAAACGAAGCGAAAAATCGGTGAATCTCGTTTATCTCGAGCTGAATGACCGATGAAAAATTAATGACGCAGCCAGTCGCAGAGGAATATCGTTTTTTAACCGTCGCAAGAGTGGAAGCGTAAAAACGAGGAATAAGCATGCGAAATTAATTAATTACCAGAAGCACTTGAGATTTATGCACGTATGAAAAGCTGAAGAGATAAAATGTTTATCTACCTGAGCCAGATTTATCAAAACGAACACGAAGGAGGCAATGAGCAACACGTTGGAAAGAAAAATTGATTCGTATTGAAAAATTCATCAAAGTATAACATTATCTTTTATTTACAAATGCATTAAACTTTGGTAATGTGTGTTACTTTCAAATGTGTATATTTTTTTAATAAACCTAATTGTGTTATAGTTTAATATAAATTCGGAAACGTACGAAAATTAGCTATTTTCTGACGAAAGACGTTCACTTCGAGAGTACTGTTCTTCTCTAGCTACTTTTGGAAACAGAAGATGCGAACATGAAATCAGTAAACCTCGTTCGGAGAGACAGACGTGCAAAAGGATGGTCTGAAAAGCTGATAAAGGCACGAGCAACGTGGCTAAAAGCAAAAGTAAAACAAAGAAGCGAAGTGCGAACACATTCGCGAGAAAGACACTCGCCTCTTCTTTCCGTTTTTGTGTTCATTTTTTCATGATTATCTGATATATCTATCTATGAAGTGTGAAAGAGATTCTAAATTCTAATGAAATAATAGTCTGAAAGTACTCATGAGAAATTGCAGAAATACAGCATAAGAGAGAATTTCGAATTTATAGGGAGATGATAAAAGAAATGGGTGACAATGGTAGCCCGTTTCTCTAAGCCGAAGCCAAGAAGCTCGCTCGAATATTCCCATTGTCGTTGTCCGGCCATCAGAAATTTCCCATCAAACCCGCATTTACACCTCGAATCTGAGAGAGGCCGGATCCTTTAATAGCCAGGGCCGACGGGCCGGCTGACTGGATGACTGGCTCGCTGGTACGAGGAAGAAAAAACTCGATTCCGCCGATGAAACCCCGGCCGCGATTCTCTACCCTTTGTTCCCGATTGAATGGTAGGCTCGATATCAATTGAAACGTTCCAGAGGAAGCGGATCCATCGGCTCGACCAACAGAAAATTTTTAATGAAACTCCGCCGGAGGTGGAAACGCGACGCTGAAGAGCGAGAAAGGGAGACCGAGGGTGACGTGGCTGGGATTTGAGGAAAGAAAAGCGTGGACGGACTAGGAAGGAGCAGGTGTGGGTAGAGCCGATGGCAGAGGGAAACCGAGCCAGGGTAATCTCTGACATCTTGTTACAGCGCTCGGCGTAAGAAAAGAAGCCTGGGGGACGGAGAACCGCGCGGCGCGCCGCGGCTGTGAGACCTCTTCGTGGCCGCGTTCAATTAAACCGTCACCTCGCGACGGAAACTTTTATATGAATGGTTTTCATTACGTCGCGGACTTATTAACGCCGGCTTCGCGCGAGCATTAATATTCCTCGTCCAGACGAGTTTTATCATCAGCGAGCGGTCCATTCAACCACCCATGGACCCAACACTCTCTCTTTCTTTCATGTCGTTCGTGAATATGGCAAATTTTATAAATAACGTTTCATTCCTACAGTTTATAAAATCCACGCGGAATAAACTATTTCTCCATAACCGGAGAGTAGAAGGTTTCTCGAATCGCTCGTCGAGATAAGACTCGAGCACTTTCGCGAATTTGCGACTATACGTATATCCGAAGACTGACTGTAATTCATCTGTTACTCACCGATACTGCTCATTGGTATCCACGCCAGTTAACGATTTCTTGTAAAAATTATTGTCTCGCCTGACACTGGATACGAGCTGAAACAACAGGGTAGATTTCCTTAGTGAACGCAATACTTGCATAGTAATCTATGAATTAATAAGGTGCAGGCTTATGCTTGTCCATCATCCCATATACAGCATACAGAAGTTATTATTCAATGCATGAATTTATAAATTATACTAATATGGTGCATCGTCCCAGCATATAGCAAATATTATTATTTTTAGATAAAAGAAATTCACGATTTATTTTGCATAAAAATTTGCACTCTGCTTGTCGCGAGAAGCGAATCTATGTATGTGTATAGTAGATGACAGACGGATATTGTCGGAAAACAGCATTATTTAGATCGGAAAATAAAACATTCTTATCCGCGGAACGGCAGCATAAAACGTCACGCGCCGTTTCATTTCCAAGATTTAAGCGGTCGTAAACTGTCATAACATAAAACAGTGGAGCAATATCCTGCAGACAATTTTAAGTTTCCCAGCTTAATCCTCAATAGTAATTGCTTATGCTCATGGCACGCGCAAACACTTTTTCCAATGACGATAAACTTGCATCATCAAATCGTAATGCCAAGTTTTGACGTTCTAAGTATTTCAAAGTCTAATTAATAGAACATTATTATGAATGCATAGAATTCTAATAGTTAAAAATTGATGCAACAAAAACATTTAAAAACGTCACGGAGATTCTTTTTAACAAAAACAGCCTAGTTCGTCCGGAGTGCAAAAATGCACGTCGCCGCGTGCAAGCTCGACCTTAACGGGGCAGATTAATTTTTAAGCGCATAAATAACTGCCGCGCGGCGGAAAAGCGAACAATGGCAGGCCGGGAAGAGGCCTTTGGATCCAGCCTACGGATATTAAACGGTGTCGGAGGAAGCCCGTGAAAACTCGAAACTGTGGCCCGAAGCTCGACGTGTAACAACGAAAAACCCGGAGGAAGGACAGGCCTATTGGAATTGTGGCCGCCGAAGCAATTCCGTCGACGACCACGCGGCCTTCTTGATTTCGCAGAGTTATCTCGCGCGTGTAATGAAAAATTGCGACCGTGTTTCCCGCTTCTTAAATAAGCAGAGCTAACTGGATGTGGTTGGCTCGCATAAAATGCACGCGGACGACCGCGTTTATAATTTCACGCTGGTAGGAAACCGGAGGAAACGTTGGTCACGGGGAGGAGATTACCTGAAGACGAATTAGGCGATCATCAAAGCGACAGACTTGTTCGTATCAATAAATTAAATATGAAAAGCAGGAATGTGAAGATACGAGACGAATAAAAATTACAGAAATCAGTAACTCATACAGAGAAATTTTTCACAATTTCTACCTCTTTCTCCTTTCTTTTTCCGTGGAAATTGTAGGGGATTTTTGGCTAAAAAAAAAAAAAAGGGAATAACGTACCTACAGAGCGGACATGCGAAAACTGAAAAAAAGACAGGGCTTTCGCGCTATTAGCAGCGGGAGCGGGTTTGGCAGGTCGAGGGAACGCAATGGTCCAGTGGCGGTGTCCATCGGTCCCTCTGTTAATCGGTTTGATTTGCAGCGATGAATGCCAGGCCGCGACAAATTGCTAGGATTACGGTCGAACGCCGCTACGGCCCGCAAATCCGCTTTGAAACGCGCGACAGACCGTGGACCGAAAGAGAATTGCGGTGTATCAGGTTGAAAGAAGGAGTGAGAACCCGGCCGGGCTTAAAAACTATGGTCAGACCGTCGAGCGAAATCGACAAACAACTGTACCCGTCCGATCGACTGGAATCCGACTCATTTTCGACCAGCCAGTACTCCCTCTTCCCCAGTTTATTTTTACTTCTGATCCGAGCTTCTGGGCGACGATATTAAATGCACGTAGCCAGTAATTATAAAAAAAAACACCATTTGTTTAATTCTGTAGGAAAGTCAGATCAAATTTCAAATCTTTTCGCGAGTTAATTTTCACTTCAATTTTATTTGATAAAAAAGGCGACGGAATTAACTCGTGATTTTCACGACCTAATTGCACTTCGAACCAGAGACACGATATATTAGTCTAAATCGAGATATTAGACGAAAAACGATATTTATTAAACCTATATTACTTTCAGTCAAAGCAAATTGGGGTTTCAACGAGGGGGAGAACAGATTTTAATTTTACGGGGCTCATCTGGCGTGAGCACAAAGCCTCATTGTTCCCCTTTGAAATTTCACATGCGTCTTCCGTTCCCAAAAGAAACGTCAGTAAAGAGCTAGGTACGAGGATCATACGATACAAGTACGAGATCTCGAGTCATCGTCAGTTTCCTATTTAATATCATCCTGCGATTTAACTGACAGATAAAATGGAATAGTTACACATAGAAGTTACGAATTTCTACGTGATTAAATATATTCACCGAAGTAAAGATTCTTGTGCATTGATAAAACGATATTAAAACAGCATCACGTTTTCTTTTATTTCTACACTTCATTTCCTGCAACGGACTCCCTAATCGTTGACATAAACATTTTATGTTTTGACGCGAGCGCAATAAAATTGTAAGACTCGTTAAGCGGATGAGCGATGGACCCGAGGTCGTGAAAAATTTATATCGGCTGATAACACTCGTAAAGAGTGAAATTTACACCGTCATTAGAGAGGCCGCGACACGGTGCAATTAGCATTTCTCTTCATCACCGGCTGAGAACAAAAACCGAACGCGTCGGCCGACGTTCACGACCTACCTTCACTTTTCAACTTATTGCCCGTCTGCCCGTTTCCATCTGCGTGTTAATTTACATATTTCTCGCGTTACATAGCTCGGCGCATCGGCGATGTATCCCGAGGCCAGGGGCTTCGGAGCATTAACAACCGGGAATGGAGAAAGGGAACGCGCGCGTTTCCGCTCTGTTATTGTGAGCGTAACGAAACGCGGATCGAATTCTGAGGAACGCGAACTCGCGTCGTCGTCCCATTCCCTCACGGGACGGCTCTTGCGATGCAACTTTTACCAGTCGACAATGCAATGACTCGGGAAGTTTAATTATAATATTTAGAATCTCGTCGCTAGCTTGAAATTTAATTTAACTTCGAAGTTGGCCCTTGAAAATAAATCCAAGTTACAGACATGATCTTTCTAGTAAGTTACACGACGTACTTCCACTTTTCGACCGACTTCTGCATATCTCATTATCATTCGGTAAATTAAGCAGTTTCTAAAAATCAACACATATATAGTGAACAATTTTTTTTTTTTAATTACTTTCGAGCCCCTGTTCAGACTTCGTATCTCATTCTCAGAGACTTTCATAATGCAATTTTAGACCCATCATGCGGGCAGTATATTTATCAGTCGTTAAGAGCACGTAACAACCTCATAAAACCCTTTAGACAACACGCGATCGTTTCCTGGAATGCACCATATATTATTCCAGAAATTCTAGACTCTTTCAAAGAAACATTTCCTACGCTTATTTATGCCTGTCCAAAAGAAATGCGAATTTATTTTTAGTACCAACGTTTTATTCTGCATCGAAGTCCACGGGCTAATAATAACGTACTAGCAATAGCGATGATTCGAGAGGTAATCATTTTCGAGTTTTACGATTGTTGCAGCAAATAAGATGATTTGAACCCGGTTCCCGATAAGGAGCCCGGGGAGATCGACCGTGGTAAATCCTCTTTCGAGTGATTTCGCTAATACTATTTATGAGTCCATTGATGCTTCGCTCGATGGAGAAATCTCGAACGCGACTTTTCTAGCGAAGCGAGTCTCGGAATGGAAAGGGGGCGGTGGCTGTACCAGCGAAATGGAATTATTCTTCCGATCGCGAAGGATGGTTTTCATTCCAATTGACAGTTTTCGTTGGATTTCGTACGGTGTGGAAACATTGACGAAATTTTGATAGCTACTTCGGATAAGATCCGTAACCCTAATCACTTTCCTGACTATTACAAATTTCTTGCGTTCAACCATGACATGAATTCCATGTCCCATGAATTCTGTTTACCAAGACCCACTGTTATTTATTCCTTGAGATTCAAACTCTAAATCATTTCTTAGTGACAAACTAAAAAACAATTATGAATGGTAGAGCTTGAGCATTAATTTTTTAACGAATTCTCTTATTTCTTTTACGTGACTGAAGAGAGAACTTTTATTCTCAGAACGGAATCCTATAAAGTATACCCCTGTAATGAGATATTTGTTCACATGTTACTATGTTACACACTTGTGCTTGAAAGTGCCGTTCGTCAAAACAGATTTCATAGAGCGAAGCGACGACTGAAAGTGTGCAGCGAACGATCTCTTAATCAAACGCGCGCGTAAATTACTCGCGCGCCGACGTTTATTTCAGACGCATTATTAACGTACCACGGGGATGTTTGAATGTTTGCGCGCAAAAAGCCGATTCGCTTGATGTCCGGTCCGATTGCGATTTTCATGCAAGTAGGAACTTCAAACCGTAATCCTATCTCAAATTGAAAATCGGTTAATTAAATTAGAACTTCGTAAACGAATCGTCTTCCTCTTTTTCCGACACTCGCAAAATTGTCGCCAAAACGTTTTTCACAAATTCTCGAAAATTAAGTTCAACCATGAATTGGATTAAGAATGCGCATATATAATTATTGACCAATCATTCTATTGTAATTCCACTTGATCAAATATATATTGTTATACATATATCGTTCTATAAACTAATTAGACTGGATGATTTTGGTGAACTGACCCGATTCTCTTGAGATAAGTTTATTTTCATCGCGTCTCGATGAAACGAAGACCTATTTTCCATGTGATTTCACGCGGAAGCCTGACGGCGATTTTATCACATCTTGTCGGAGCCTAAAAAGCGATCCTTTACTCCCCCATGGGTATAAAACGATATACGCCCGGGTCTATTAGAACAGGACACGTTTCGGTCTATCGTCGATCTTCCTCCCCCGGTGCCATCGTATCTGCGTTTACACGGTTAACCCATTAGGTTAATCCCGGCTGTAAATTCACCCAGGGACCCGTGGAAACTGCATTTTTTACCGCGGTCGACGTCCCGCGTGCGCATTCGTTTAA